GTCCATTAAAGAGAACTCATTTTTTAAATTTCTTCCAGGATTTTTCTGGGGGGGGGGGGGTCTATTATGTGGGGTTTTTCATAAATTCGAGGTCTTTAGGTCAACTTATTTTAGGCCTTGGTCTATATTAAATTTCTATAAAAATAATTTTGGTTTTTCATTTTTATTGAAAATAAAAAGTGTTATTTCTAAAAATTTTGAATATTTCTTTCAAATTCTTTATAGTGATATATTGTATAGATTTTTGGGAAAGAGGAGGGGGTATTGGGGGGAGGGGTTTATTAGTTTAAAATTATATTTACGAGAACTTGCAAATTTCTGAAGAGAGATTTCCGTTGCCCTCCCCCCAGACCAGACTACGCCTATGTATTTCTTGCAGATATTTTCCAGCATACTTTCATTTTTGACTAGTATTTACTTCTACTCTAATTATAAATAATTATTTTTATAATTAATTTTATAAATATATACATCAGGCATTAAACTCAAATGGCCTATGATAAGTCTTTCACAAAATAAAAAGTAAAAAATAATATTATAATCAGAGACCTGCAGAGATACTATTTACACGGCCCAGCCATAATTTTTTTAAATATATTATTTTAAATTTTTAAAGATAATAATGTCGATTTAATAAATTTGGTTTTAGAATATACGGCCCAGGCATTTTCTTATTTTATTAGGCCAGCCTGGGTACATTTAAAAATTAAAATACGAGGTCTCTGGTTAAAATCAGTAGAAAAACTAAGAATTGAAGAATTCAGGACAAAATTTAAATCTTGAAAACTCATTTTATGATCGATTAATACAATTTAGAAGAGATGTAGGTCTTAGGTTTATTAATATATTGTCAAATGAGAGATAAAAATTGAATATTTTTTATAAATTTACTGACATAAAATCCTTATTCATTAATTAACATCTCCTGTCAAACGCATTTAAAACTTAGTAAATTCTATCTTTATCAAGTAAAATTCTGGAAAACGATTATTATACAAATGGAAATAAATTTTTTAAAATATTATATGAAGATAGTATTGTAATAGTTCAATTAAATTGATTGAACTGAAGTTTCTTTACTTACCAAGAATTAAGTATCAAATCTAAATCTCCTTCCGAGCTTGCCAAAAAATTTCTGAAACCAACTTATGGATGAGCTTAAAGTAAATAAGATTAAATTGAAAGGTTAGAGATATGGATCAGTGCTAATGAAATAACTGTAGATGCCTAGATAGACTGTGAATTTGTAGGTAAAAATTATTTATATACTCTAATAATTAAGTTTTAATTCTTTTCTTATATACTATTAACAATTTATTTTAATTAAATTTTGGATATATTTATAATAAAGTAATATAAAATGTAATAATTATATTAGCTAATAAATTATGGGTCAATTTTGAAAAATTAGATATTTTTTAATTATAATTTATATTTTCATATACTGGTGAATTTATTTTTAATTTTGCTGACAAATTAATTAGGGGGAAAATATTTTGAACGGTAAATATACTAAATTACTGAAGAGAATATATTTACTGAGCCCTAAGATGAGCATTGTCAAAACCTCAATTTAAGTGCTTTTAAAAAACGCCTATCAAGATTTTACTAAAATTACCTACACCTTGAGTCGATAGATGTTAGAAAGGTTTGTAGGCTTACCAGCCTCTTTTGAGATGTTAAATACATGTCCGGTATCTATTTTCATTTTCTATTAATATGTCTTCATTTATAAAAATAAATTCCAATTTTAATAATTAAAACAAAAAATATCTTTCCACTATTGGGAAATCGCAAAATTTTGTTCATATAATTCATATTCTTTCTTGCGAGTAATCATGGAAATCTAAAAATATTTTCCATTTCGATTCAGTATTTTAACAAAGAAACCGGCATCAATTTTAGAATTATCGATAAACAATCGCTTAAAAATGAAATGTCAGATATTATCTTTAATTAATTATCAACATTCATGGACAAAAATAATCTAACACCTAAATTGACAGCCTATTCTGGAGACAATTGTAATAGAAATTTTGGTGGAAAAAAACGAGCTGTAAATAATGTTTTTTACAAACTAAAAAATTCCGGATTAAAGAATATAATTAGAGTGGGTAGTCCTGCCCATATATTACACAATGACATTCAGTTTGGATTTGAAGTTTTGTTATGAATATCTACAATTCTTTTCATATATACTGTCTGAACTGAAGAGCTTAAGTAGTTTTATGAATTAGATGAGCCTAATTATAAACAACTATAATATATCATTCAAAAACACGGCAGCTTTCTCTATTTCCTTGTGTCCAACGATTTCTTAAAATGTATGAATCATTAAAATCGTACTTTTTTTCAATTTACAATCCACCATATATTATCATAAATTTTTTGAAAATGATTTAAACGAAGCATATTTGTGGTACGCCCATTCCTTGATGTATGTGTTTGATGAAAAAATTAAATCAGTTGAGAAAGAAAATAATACAGATTTTAAATGTTAAGCCATTTAAAATCATAAACATTTGTTAGCTGAAAGAAAAAATTAAAATTTTTTCCATTAAAAGTAAAATCAATATTTGAATCAAATATTAAAATGGGACAAAAAATCTAAGTATGTGAGGAATAGATTATCTGTATAAGCAATTATATGCACACAATAGAATTTTAAATCATTTTTATAAATATTTATTAACAAAAATATCAAGTGAAGTATATGATAAAAAAAATATGAATAATATTTAATGATATTGATATATGCACTAAAATCAATTAAATTTTTTTTGTCTTATTTATAATATTACATAAACTAAATATGTCCACTTTTGCACTAAGCAGAATCTGGCAACCCTAGTCAGGCAATATTTTTGGCTAAATTTGATCTAGTCTTTTTTTAAAAAACGGGTAAATAGAAGTTTCAACACAACCTAAGATATTGACATTATTATTTGTACTATAAAATTATGACAATTTTGTTAATATATGCAAAAAATATTTTGGAAAATGCTGGATAAATAAATTAGTTTTAATATAAATAGGATTTTATTCGATTCGTCAACTTTTGTGACTTTATCAAAAAAAGAAGGAATAACAATTCTAAAAAATTTAACATACAATTTCATTTTAAAAATGATAAAATTTTACGGATTTTTTAAAAAAATGTTGGACATAGCCTAAAGGGGGTAATAACTATATTTCCCCTTATCGTTAGATTACTAATTCAAATTCCTTTTTTAAATAAAAGAAGGGGAAAGTTGCCATTGTATGTGTAAGGGAAGAATTGCCAAATGTAAAAAAGACTCAGGGTGTGACTCATAAAATGTACGAATTCCTAATAAGTGTGATGACATCTTATAAATTTAATCGTAGAACCATCTCTGTTTCTGAAGACTGATTACGTGAATCTTAATAAAATATACACAGAACATTTAATATTCTATCTTTATTATTTGAAAAATATATAAATTTAATTATAAATTTTTGTTTATATTTTGGGTTGTTTTGTAATGATTATATATAAAAGACAATATAAAAAAAATAATAATTTTATTACTATCAAAAATAATATAAAAAATTTTTACAAATCATATTTTATAAAAAAAATCATCGTGTCTATTTTGTTTCATTTAAAAAAACAGTAAGAAAATAGTGTCAAAGAAAAATTCTTGTAATATCTCCTAATATAAGATGCGAGTTTATAGTAAAGGTCAACATAAATATTTCCCGGTATATAGCACAGATGATAATATTTTAAGGTTTTATGGGTAGGGTATGCTTAAATGAATTCATCAATTTTGATGGCTTGTTTAGAGTGAGTTAAAATATTCGTACTAAATTAATGCCTACTATAAAAAATATATATCATAATAACCTAATTTTAATTATTTTTTTGTTAGCTAAGTTTAAATTTATTTTGTTTTTGAATTGGGTTAAAGATTTTATAACAATTTTTAAATATATACCACATTTAATATATTAAATATACTATATCTTTAAGTTTAATTTAATTATAATAGTTATAAAAAAACAAGGCAGAACTTTAATATTTTTAAAAGATTTGATATCCTTTACAAATGTGAAAAAAAAATTCTAATTCTAAATAAAAAATTTAATAATTTAATATGGAAGTAAAATAAAAAAAATATATGAGAAAGAGGTATTCTTTTCTTTTCAAATAATATAATGTGTAATCTATATTATAATTTTTTGCAGGATGGGGAAGGGCCTTTAAGAGGTGAAAAAAACAGGTAAAAATAAATTTTTTTATATTAATTAATATAATAGCAATATATATTTTCTTCAATATAAATCTTAATATATATTAATATTCAAAAAAGAAAAGAAAAATTTAAGATATATATTTGATATTATACATAATATAATGAAAGAATTGGACTACAAAACCACAATATATATAATATAATGTATATAATTTTTCACGAAATAAAAAATATATAATATGATATAAAATTTTATATTTGTATAATGATAAATAAAGCTATTTATTTTATTTTTTCTTAAAAAAAGTTATGATTTCTCAAAAAGAAGCCAAAAATCGCACCTAATCTCAAAACTGCCCAATTAAACTGAGGGAGATTTGGAGGGTGAATTAATATTATAATAAATTATATAACAAAAAAATATCGTTCTATAATAATCTTTGTAAAATATTTAATATTAATGTATGTGATAATTGAAATAATGATTATTGTAAATTTTGTATAAAATCAACCTAATTATATAGATAAGCTATTATATAAAGGTAAATTAAAAATTTATTGAGCTTTTGATTGTAGTAAAAAAATACAAAAATATAAATGATAACGAATATATAAAAAAAATACACTAATTTTCAAACTTATCCCCAAAGAGTATCGGTTTTAGATTTAGGGTAAAAAATTTTCTCCCTTCTTCTCAAGATTATTTAAAAGGCGCTGTTTTTGCGCAAAGTCAAATTTGTGACATCATTATCATTTGAGAAATAAGAACTTTGATGAGAATTGTTAGTTGATTCCATTTACGTTAGTGGTATTATCTACGTGTTTAAAAAATATAAATGTTAAATTAAACGTTATTGTTACCATTTATAACCTGTAAAATTAGTTTTATTTTATAGTAAATAATGTAATTTACTAAAAAGATAGTTACGATTTCGATATCTCCTGCAAGAAAATATAATAATTTGCAAGATAAAAACCAGTTTTCTTGATCCTTCCTGTATAAATATAAATCCTTCTTAAAGAATCTAAACACTTTATAAAAAGAATCTGCGAAAAGATATGACATGGATGGCTCAATTTCCAAAGTGATAATTCCGTAAGCGTTTATCACAATAGGTAAATATTAAAACTAAACTTTATTTCTACATCTATAAATCACTTTTTAAATTCTAATAATCTAATTGTTCCAAGAAAGATTTTTGATCAAATTTTATTTAAAATTCCAAATATGTTTAGTAAAAAATCTTTTATAATTTTTATGGACAATAAATCTTTCAAGATGAAATCACAAATAGTGTTGTTAAAAGACTCAATTTGAGCCGATTTTTAAAAACGGCTAACTCAACATTATAACCAGGAAAATATTGCATAAGCGTCGAGATTTCGACAATAGATGTTCAATCCTATGTGCCACCTATGAGCAAAATCTTTAGGCTTGCATCATAATATTTTTATGATAAAATATTGAGTTAGACGTTTTTAAAAATCGGCTCAAATTGAGCTATTTAACAACACTAATCCAAATTCGATTTTTTCATTTTGAAAATATTTTTAAAGAATTTAATTTTCGAATCGAATACTCGACGAATCATCGAATATGTTTTTATTATTCGTACGAATACAAATAAGGAATTATTCAAAAATACAAATCGAATACGAATAATGCAAATATTAGATCGTATTTTTGTATGTATAAGTTAAATTAAGGAAACGTTTATTGTGGAAAATATAGTAAATTCATGCAAAGATTTGTTAATAGATGATATTAGAGGATATGTGACCTATATGTAAGAAAACAATTGGTGGTGGATTTGTGCAAAAAGCGGATGTAAATAGAGATAAAATGAAAATAAATTTTCTTCACCCAGAAGGACGGGAAAATATCTGAGCGTACTAATTTACTGCAAAACGAAGTTATCAATCAAAGGTAATATCTATAACGAATCGAACATTTAAATTTTTTACATAAAATAAATTCGGAAAGCGAAACACATAGAGCTTTCAAGTTCTAAATTTATGAGGTAAATAAACACCAAAAATCCTTAATATTTACTAAAAAGTCTTTAATAGAGTTACAAAATGAGGTATAATTTTTATTTTTTTTTAAATATTGTATTTAATGATATTTGGTAAAGAGGCTAAAATTTTGGATTCAATGCTTTCTATTGATTTTATCTCAGCATTCAAAAATTAAATAAAATTAAAAAGTTAAGGGCTGAATTATGGATTTGGTATGGAATTACCCCATGCCATTATTTTATTTGTTACCATAGATTTCGAGTTGTAAAGGATGAAAAATTCCGAAATTTTACTGTCAGTAAAAATATTTTTTATTCACAAATAAGTCTAGAAAAATTGTCTGAAATTGAAATATGAGACATTTTTTATTTCAAAAAAGCGATAAGGTAAATCTGAATCCGCTAATATTGAAAATAGCTATTTGTTTTAATTCTAAATTTATTGTGAATCAAAAAACCTTAAGTATAGTTAATTATAATATTACTATTCGCCAGTGAGTACAAAAGTGAAGACATATTGGCATTATCAATAGGGTCATAAGTAGGCAGTAAGGAATTCGTAGAATTAACGCTGTAATCAAACATTTGATTGTTGGTATAGTTAAAAGCGGAAAATAAATTTGCAAACCGACCACCCAAATCAAAAAGACGGTTATGATTATGACTGTTATCATCTTCAATCACGTCAGAATTTTCAGTGTAGCAGTCATTGCTTCCATTATTGGCCAATTGCCTTTGAAACAACCTCAACTGGGCCATGTTATAATTTAACTGCCGCTTATTATTCCCATGCAATATGTCCTCTTCATTCTCTGCACCTGTCACGGCACATTCCACCGATTCTAAATTTAAATTCGCATTTTGACGAGCGGAAAATAATCGGTCTTTATTATTGTAATTACCCGGAGCGAGTGCTGATGATTTAGATATGATTGTATTTCTGAATTGGTCATCTTCCTCTAAAAAGTTAAGAATATCATCGTCAGGTTCATTCGTTTGATAGTTTGTGATGACTTCGGTGCTTTCGATAGAATGCGGAGACACATTGTTTTCAACAAAATTATTATTGTTGTTAAAATTGGATGTAAGCAGTAGACGATTGATTTTAGCCAATAGATTCTCTTGGTCACCTTCGATTTGATTGGTAGTATAATCATCATTCGTTTCGTTCTCAGTTTGACCATGCGACAAAATGTTTTTTAGGGCGGCCGAGAGAGAGGCGATATTAAGGTTATTCGTAATATTTTTACCATTACCACCATTGTTAATGTTATTGATATTATTAAGGCTTGAACGTCCTTTGATGCCTACATTTTGATTGTTACGGTTGGGAGAAGCTAACGGGTTGTATCCATTTATTCCAGGATTATGATTCTTAGTTCCGATCATCAAAGCGCTAGCCAAATTATTTAAAATTGCCCTGACCCCTCTTTCGTCATCCCTATTTATTCCATTTCTCGGAGTAGTGGGATTGAAATTATTCAAATTAGTATTTATATTATTGTTTGGATTTGAATTAGTGAGAACCGAAAGAAGAGCGGCCGCGGTTAAGATAGCATCGTTATCATTCACGTTAACGTTATTATTACCTAAATTATTGAGATAGTTGGAATAGAATGCGGGAGAAGAATTTCGACGTTGATTGCCGGTGAATGGCGAAGATGAGAGGTGATTATTATTATTAGGTATAGCCATCATAAAGCTGTTATCGAGATTGTTAGCGTTGGGGCCCACTGGATTATTATTGTTTCCCGTCCTAACTGCGATATGATTCTCGATCTGGATCCGGGCATTATGAACGTTAGGTGCCGAACCGGTTATTTCAAAAACAGGTTCTCTGTCCCTACTAGGAGTAACTATGTACGTATGGGTCGTTTGTTGAATTCTTTTAATGGTAGCGCCCTTGGGTCCTACAACAAGGCCTACGACTTTGTAAGGTACCCTGACTCTAATGGTTATTTGTTGCTGCATATTATTTTGATTCTGGCCTTGAGTGACAGTATTATTGTTATGTAAATGGGCTGAGTTGTTATGTAAAGTACTTTGGAGTTGAAGTTGCAATTGGTGCAATGTATTATGCGCTTGTTGATTATTGACATTATGGCTAGAATCGACTACCGTATTGTTGATCATGTTATTGTTGAACTCATTTTCATCGTGATTGTGGGATAAATTATAGGAATCGATTCTCCCGATCAAATCATTATCGGTCAACGAATGCCTCGCCCCATTCATTCCCATGCTTCCATTAATGCTCCCGTTAAGATTCCCATTTAAACCCCCTAAAGTAGTTTCGAGAATAGGTGCAGAATTTTTGCGAGACGCTCTAATTTGACTAAAATGTTCGGCGGCCGATATGATTTCTCGCTTGGCTAACACGACATCTTCTTTACGTCCAGTTACAACAAAAACTGGTTCCTCTCCCCTGACAGGAGTCTTTATGTAAGTATTCGTTTTGGCTCTCAGGGCTTTAATCTTGCAACCTGAATTATTTTTTAAGTTAATATAAATTATTGTTAGGTAGTTTGTTTCATGTATATGATCACGAAAGGTTGATCCATAGCAACGTTTTAATCTTCGATATTATAAAATATTTTAAAATGAAAGAGTTCAACAGATTATATTATTTAGATATGAATAATTTTTCATAAAAACTTGGGCCGGGTAGAATAATACTAATTTTGACTTATTTAGATTCTCTAATTTATAGCTATAAAAAGACTGCTTTAATCCGGGTGTGATCCTAATCAATCGGTCCGGATTTTACATTTTGTAGGATCAAAACTTAGAATTAACTACCTTCTGTACACGCTTTAAAAAAATGATATGTGTTCTTTTCCAAGCGCAATTAACCCATCCATAATAATAATAAAAAAAGGTTTTTTAAGGATTGTTTTTTTCCTGTTTAAAAAAAATTATTGTTAATACTAGAATCCTTACGGGGAATATATCCTAGCCATTTTTATTGAAATTTTTTCCATTATTACAATCATTTTAAATATAATCTATCAATATTTTGGTGTAAATTTTACATTATAATTATTATCTAATTTGCTCATTTTATTTTAATGTTTAAAATTTTTGTTTATTAAATAAAAGAGCTTGTTTTTTCTGTTGTTTTTTTCGTTGTTCTTTAAAAGCATGTGAAATTCTTTTTTTGTTTTCTTCTTGACTTTTATTTCGCTCAGAATGAAAACTGAAACGTTCAGAATATTTTTTTTCTTTGAGCACAGAATTTAAAAAAAATACTAAAGTTCAAAATTTTTAGAATTTCAGATATTTTTCTTAAAATCGAAGACGATTTTCTGAGCAATTCATATATTTTTCTGGACGATTCTTCTATCAGAGCGTTTCAGTTTTATACGAGAGCAAATTTTTTTTCGAACAATTTAGTTTTTTTATCTGAGCATTCAATATTTTTCTGATAATTAACATTTATTCTAAACTTATAAGGATTTTTTCTGAATAATTAAGCACTTATTCTGAACTTTATTGTAAGCATTTCCGTTTTAAATGTTTTTTACATATCCCTAAATTACCTTCAAAATTCTAAAAACAAAAATAATTTGTAACTCTGGTTAAAAAAAATTGTAAAACAAAAATCCGCGGAAATTATTTTAGCATAAATACAAAAGAGTTTTAAAAATATACATGCACTTGTCCAATTTGAACATTTAAATTATACCTGTATAGGGCAAGACCTGATGTGGGTTAGTTTATTTCAATGTTCAAATTGGGAAAATAAATACTCATGAAATGTAATTTTTTGAATCTGATTTTTCAAAAATACATCCTAGATTCTATCCGCATACCAAATATTCTGCATTAAAAAATATTTTAGGTTGTATTTTTTATTAATCATATTTTCTAATAGGTAATCAAAATTCAATATTTTTTATCCCAATATTATTTTTTTAAACATTTATAAAACAAGACATTCCTAAATTCTTTAAACGAACTTGTGAAATTTCCGATAAAAATAAGGAATCCCCTTTTTTTTCCATCATATTATACAACTCTTATATGTATATAGTTCATAATATAAAATATTTATGCCTTCTCCCATCATCTTCCATTTAAAAAAAATAAATATCAGTTCAGGTGGCGCAACATATAATAAACATCATAAGAATAAATTTTGTTTTAAATGAACTTTTTCTTATAAATTATGAGTACAAATTTTGCTAAAACAAAATTAAATAGTAACGTACTGTAATGTATTTGTATATTGTGTACATACATTTTCATAAAAGATCATTGATGACTAAATTTATGATAAAATGATAATAAAAAAAACAAAATGTAAGTATAAAAATATTTTAATTATAAATTAAGACAAGGTCTGGAGGGTGAAAAGGAAGGAAGGATTACTTACATAATAATTTTTAAATATTTTATTTTAAAATAACAAAAAATATATTACAAAAGATGAGTTTACTTATGGTTGGGGGGAGTGAGTTCAAAAGTCAAAGAACTATCAAAAAAATAAAATCTCCCTCTCCCCTTCCGATTTATTTATTATAAATATTATATTTTTTTAGCGTAAAATACGTACAAACATATTTTTTTTATTATATACAAAATAATTTACAATAAAATTTTAAAAAATAAATCAATTTTTTAAGGGGGGAGGGAAGGGTGGCTAGCATTATCGATCATACATTAAAATAATACGTACAAATAGTATTTTTTAAAATAAAATTATGTGTAATGGTTTGCTTCTCTATTAAGGAAGATAGTCGGGAGATGGGTGGAATATAATCATATTAAACTAAAGAGATAATATCCTAATGAACATTGTTATAAATAACATAAAAATAGCATAGCAACAATATTACATAATAAATACGAATAACCCCGTCTACCAAATAATAAAAAAAATATTTTTGGTACAAATGGTGTATACACATAATATAAAATAATATCAAAATATCTATAAATAGAAATGGCAAAAAAATGGCTTTTTGTGATTATAGTAGATAAGGGGAAATGCTTTGTTTTGAATTAACAAAAATATTATATATTATAGTATTAAGAAGAATTGGGATGTTCCGGTTAAAAAAAATGATTGATATATAAGGAATGGTTTGTTGCTTGGTAGGTGTTTTTGTATAATAAAATTAAGATTTTTGGAATGATTTAAGGTTATTTTATTTACCTATTTCTAATCTTACATTAATTTCAGAGTCAAAGTTGATTCTATTCATTATTGGCAGATGTTTCATATTTAAAGTTAAATGACTGTACTATCTATAGTGGTGTTAAACAGCTCGATTTAAGCCGATTTTTAAAAATGGCTATATTTTAGCCAGAAAAATATAGCCGCCTCGAGATTTCGCGAATATATAAGAACAGCCTAAACAACTTTAACTTGTCTGTTGAACCTTTTTTTGATAATCGTGTAAACAATGATGAAAAAAATAATCGTCAATTCAATTTGTATCATCAATATTCTCCAAAGTTAATCTATTAATATTAAATTCAAATATAAACATTTTCTAGGAGATATAAGCGAAATTCCCAATTTTTTTGTTTTTCGCGTTTTAGAACGCGAACTATCTACTAAGCCATGAGCTTTGAGTTATTGCTTATAAACAAGTCTCGCATATTTTTTTAATTAGCACATGGCCAAATTTTGAACAGATAATAATTTTTATAAACAAAAATTAGACAATTAAAATGATAGATTATTTAGCGTCTTTTATATGATAAAATATAATAGAATATTTTTGAAAAATTAATTCATTACAGAATTTACAATTTATATATATATAGAAACAATTATGAATGGAAAAAATTTATTATTTTATCTTTTGTCGCGATGGGGGAAGGAGAAGGGGGGGGGGCAAGAGTTATATTAGAAACACACGTTCGAATTCCTAATATTACAGCTCACTGTATCTCGTTATAAACCTCTATTTAATTTTTTGATGTGATTTATTAATATATTTATTTTTGACTAGACACGCTAGGATAATTTATGAAAAATAAAATATATTATCATTTATCTATATCTAATAATATCTTTAATTTTATCCGTTTTCTTATATTTTTTTAAATTTAATCATTTTCCTTTAAATTCATTACATTTCTGCCAACTTGTGCAATTCTTCATGAATTGTTTTTTTAAATCTAAAATATGAATGTTATGTCTACCTATAAGTTTGTTTGATAGTTGTTTTTTAATTTACACATATCTCTCTCGATGATGAAAAAGATTTAGGATAGGCAACAGGCAGGGTTGCCATATATTCTTCACTTGAAAACGTGAGTTTTTCTTTTATAATAATTAATGGGGGACTTTGCCCCCATACCCCCCAATTTGCGGGTCTTCGGCAGCTTTTACCCGATGTAGCATACTCATCTAAGTTAATAACAAGATTTTAAAGACAATGAAAATTCTTTATTGATTTACTAATAACAATTATGATATATAATTTTCTCATGTTTATAAATATAGCATAATATTAATTATTATATTTTATGGATGATTTTAAAAGAGGCAATAAAGATTTCCCATCGGCACTGTGGCGATAGGCTGAAAACTCTTTGCATGAATAGTTATATTTTTGTTTAAACATAAGTTCAGCTTCCAATGATGACGTTCTTTTCGCCAAGCAGTAGTCATTAGACTTCTGATGAATCATTTGAATGCGGAATAGAAAATATAAAATTGCATATTTTCTCTATCAATGGTGAGTTTTTATTAGAAAGAAAATCCATCCATTTTTCTTGGGTATTCATGTGATTGTTTTTTGATAATTTTTCTTCATAATAGGAATAAAATTGTGAATATTCCTCAAAGAGAATTTTTGTATCTATGTTTGGTATTTTATAATTACTAATAATTTTTTTATTCAAATTCTGGACATTATTTTAATGTCATAAGGCTAAGATATTTCCATATATTACCTAGAATATCTAATGTTTTTCTACATATTCTATAATATTTTTGATTCATTTTTGAAATTTATTGCCTTTTTCTATATCATTATTATGTTGTAAAATATTTTTAGAAATGCTCCCATAAAAATTTTGTTGAATTTTTTAATTTAATTCTTTAGTTTTAGGATAAGATCATGTATATATATTGCTAATACATCTTCAGATTGCAATTATAAATTTATGTTAATGACTAAAGTGCCAACGTTAAGGACAACACCTAAATATGCCTCTGCAAAATCATCTCCAAAAATTATTTTCAAAATTGGTGGGGTTGCTGATAATGACAAAAAATATTCTTTAAGGGGTTGAAAATACTTAATCATCCACTTAATCGCTGGGATTAATGTAAGCCAGAGTGTTGGAACATGGCGAAGTGATTCTGACCATTTTAAATTGCACCATTCTACCAATTCTTTTAAAATTGTAACTCTTTTTGTCGAGTTGCTAAATTCATTATAGCATTTAATTACTATACTCTCAATATCATATTTAAGAAAAATTATGGTCTTTTTAAACGAATTGTGAAGAATGTGGCATATAAAACCCATTGGTATAATATTATTACTATGGCTTTTCAATTCTGTACAAATACTTTAATTTTTCCCAAAGTTTACAGATGCTTATCTACACAATAGGCCGTTACATTAGCAATATCAAGTTGAGCGAATTTTAAATTTCTAGCAAGCATCTAGATATGTCTTTCGGGGTTTCACTGTCAGACGAAAAAACTTTAAAAATTAAACATTTATTCCATTCTTTTTGTTGAAGTATTTAAGTAATGGGAAATGTTTTTATATTACCTTTATTCTATAAATCCGTTAGTATTGAAAACGGGTGATTGTTTTTTAGATCTTTTATAATATTTGCCCTTAATTTATTTCATTTAAAATTTTACGAGTTTTAATATAAGATTTATAAAATCCATAAAAGAAATGTATAGTTATTTAAATCCATATTATAATTATACTTGATAAACTTTCTAAAAATTGAATTTCTGTTGTGGGCAATTGATCAATGAATATGATTAGTTAGTTGGACTATTATGGCAACCCTGGCAACAGGAATAGAATTATATATTTTTTATTTGCTCAACACAGGAAAAAAAGGCTAGCAAAAAAAGAGGAATTTTTTTTAAATATATATTATGAAGTGAGAATTAGACTATCTATCATCAGCTATCACTGAATCTTAAAATAAAACTAATTAGAAATTTTATGGTCCATATTATATCAAAAATTTATTAATGACTATAATTAAAAATTTTCAGAAAAGTGAGGCCAAAATATTTTGCCTTGCCAAAAGTCTTCAAAATGCGGACCTAAAAGTACTCCACTAAAATTTATGGGTGGGGGAAATGACCTAAAAGTTTCCCTCTCACGAAACCAGTAATGTCTATGGTAACAATATACATAGTTATATTATAGAATAAGATCAGCTTCGTTAAAATTAGACATAATATTTTCTTTACATTTTAAGCCACCAACCTGCTCTGAAATTTAAACGCGTGAATAACTCAAGTTGAGTTAATAGTTTTAAGAAACAGATAATACATAATTTTTTTTATCGATAAAGATAGAAAGGATTGAGAACCGATTACAACAATGACCGAGTGATTCGGTTAAAATTGTCGTTTACACCAAGAAAAAACGCACTGACCCACAATAGGCAATTATATACTATGTTACTTCCTTACCTAGTTATTGAATGGAGGTTTTACTTTAAATAGACTAATTTTGTATAAATTATATAGCGTGTCCGGAATTTTATTATTTTTTTAAAATGGTATCCAACAAAAAAATTGTTCATGATCATTATTCTTTCATTTATAAAGAGAAATTGATAGGATACCAATAAATGTGATAATTTATCCTTGGAAAAAAATATATATAAGTTTTCATTTAAATACATTTCATAAATGTAAAAAAAATGGTTTATTTAAATTTAATTTTATGTATTATAATATTATGTGTGTACATAACTCCAAAAGGTCAAGTAAGGTTAATTCACTTTATATGTATATGTATTTATTTTTTAAAAAGGAAGGAGATGAGAGAGGGAAAAAAGAAATAGTATCGTTTAAAAATATATGAATAGTGTTCATATTATTTTTATATATCCAATTATAAATTTAGAGAAATATGTGAATTACCATTTCCAATTGAGCCAAACCCATTGGATTTATTTACATATATATTATATATCCAATTGGACCATAATAAAAGTTTATCGAGTAAAACACTGTCAAAGTTAATATATATCATGAAATTAAAATTTAGTCACTGATTTTTTTACATAAAAATTTGACAAAAAATATTGATTCCTAGTAGTTAATAAACCAAAAATTTCTCAAATCTGTATCCATAGATTATTACAGACAATTGATACGAATACACTTAGGTTAATTTAAATATATAAACATTTAAAAACGCTTCTTCTGTAAATAATAAATGTGACTGAACTTTAAAATATCCAAATATTCCAAAAATGTAAATACTTTTTATATAAATGAATCAAAGATTTCCTAAGGCTTTATTTCAAGTTCATTAATATTTGTATATATTAGAAAATAATGTAAAGGGAGACAGATGAAGTCTTCAAATATGCTTATAGTATAGGTGTATTACTAAATATAAAAATATGCTTAAAGGGGTGTAAATATTATAATAAAAAAATACAAATAATATCAGTCGTCGGGCGATTTCTTAAACAAAAAGATTCGATGTCATGAAAGATTGATGATAGTTACCAAATCTTTATGTGTGTCCCACTTTTATTAAAAACTATCAAAATTGATATGGATGAAAAGAATGTTTATTTAAGTCTGTCTTAATAGCTAAATTTAGAGCTTGCTTCTCTATTCATAAAACATATTTTTTTGAAATAAAAATAAAAATGATGCTCTTATTTTTAAAATTTTTCATTATTAAAGTGAGTATGGGAATAATTAGGGTTACCGCTAGTGTTGTTAAACGGCTCATTTTGAGCAGATTTTTTAAAACGGCTAACTTAATATTTTAGACAGAAAAATATTGCCCTAAGCCTCGAGATTTCGAGAATATATGCCTAGACCTTTGTTCCTTCTATGAGCAAAATCTTCAGGCTTGCGTAATATTTTTCTGGATGAAATAGTGAGTTAGCCGTTTTTAAAAATCGGCTCAAAACGAGCCGTTTAACAACACTAGTTACCGCTATTTAATATATGTAAATCGATAATATATTAAAAATAACTTAATAATATCGACATAAAGTTTAAAAAAAATTTGGGGGTAAGGCTTATCTTTTAGTCACATATATTTTTAATTGATTAAGCCAATTTGGAATGTAATTTCAAAAAAAATTTTACCTTGACGCCCTACAATTTCGGCCACGTGTTCAGAACTAGGAACCGGCACACATTCAGTCATGTTTACACCCTTTTTCTTGTTACCGACGACTCCCCCGTTGTTACTGGAGTTCGAGTTATTGCTGTTGCTATTTCTGACAATCGAATCAGTTATATTATTTATAGATTGACTGATGCTACCAGAGTTAACCTCCGAGTTATTCAAACGTTCGCTTTCAAAGCCATTAACTGTCGAGAATAGATGAGTTAAATCTCTTTGGTTTAACATGTACGTATTATTGTTGTTAGGATGGTTGAAATTCATAGAATGGGCGTTACCAACACAACCATCTACATTAGAATTTCCGACCAATCCCATCAAATTAGCCAGATAGTTATTGCTATGGTTACTGCCATTGTTCACATTACTAAAGCCATTTAAATGATGACAATTATTTTCTTCGAGATTTGCGTTAGTCAAGTGAATTATTTCATCATCCGGATCGCTACTATAACCATTATTTGATAAATTGTGGTTAAGATTATTGATTTGGAAATGGTGTTCGTGGAAATTATTTTGGTTTTGATGTGCAGTGCTAAAGAGCGTATTTGATGAGTCGATCGACGAATTATTGAAAGTGGATGGCGTAATATCTGATGAATTAACAAATGAACGACCATTTTCAACAGGAAACGAATCATTAAAGTAAGTATTAGGAGGATTGCAACTCACGTTTTCGTAGTTATTGAACAGTCTAGTTTTGCGCAGTGACATATTTTCTTGTCTGTTGAATAAAGCAAAATTATTACTATTATTGTTTATAGAGACATTAAAATCGTTATCGTTATGGTTAATGTCATTGCCGTTTGTTGTATTATTTGAGATAGTATTTAAATTGTTGGATCGTAGTACATAGTCGTCAGATAATTTGGTTATAGCTTGCTTAATACGATTTTCCTCCCTTCCGTTCATCGTATTATTATTGCCAGAAAAAATGGAATTTGGATTAAAATGCGATTTTGAAAAAGTTGAATATTCGACTATTTCATTGACATTTCCATTTATTTCATTATAATTGACTCCATTGCTAAACTTTGAGGTATTGTTATTGGCAAAAATATTTTTAAGGCCCCCATTAATGAAGTTAGAATGAATATCGTTATCATTCTTGTGGCCACTAATTTGAGTAGAATTGCAAGTACCAGAATTACTGGTGTAAATTATGTCTTCAGCCGTGATAAGGGAATGCACTAAATTTTTACTGTTGGAGGCATTATTCAGATTATTTTCGTAGCTACCAGGAAATTTTTTGCCGGTCAGTGCAGATAAGGATAGTTGGATATTTCCCGAAGCCGGGTTAGAATGAGATATTTGCGAGGATATAAAACTATTAGTGGGCATTCTCTAATCTATAGACTTTCTATTAGCTATTTTTTGTAATATAAATTATCAAATTTTTATAACTATTTATTCTACTCAAAAAAAAAATTTTTTCCTAAATAAAATATTTTTTTTTAAAAAAAAAATTCGTTAAAAAACATAAACGTAAAAAGCAGACGATATTTATATCGTGGAAATATTAAAATAAATAAAAATGTCCGCGCCTTTTTTTATATTACAAATAAATAAATAAATAATTTTATAGTTTCTTCATTTCATGTTAACGAACTTTTATACATATTCAAAATCTTTTATAATTTAATTTTTTTAGAGACAAATTGTATCATTTTGAATCCGTATTTATTCTTATACACCCACGTGAAAGAAAAAAAAGGATTGTTTAACTTTTCACGGTATAAAATTTTTTAGGCTTTTAGATTTATCTGAATTTAAATGTTAAATATTTTAAGTTATTCAACTTAAGTTACTTTCTCAAATGAGAGTTTTAGACAATGCCTTTATTCTAATAATTCTAATGCCGTTCCCAAAAATAGTCACCAATATTCTTAAAATAAATTTTTTTTAATTTGAGTTTTGATATCTATAATATTTGTTGTTTTCTTTCTTTTTACCTTAAAATTACATACTATTGCTCAATTATTAATATTCGATATTAATAAAGGTATTAAAAAATAATACAGATGTCGCGTATAAAAGATACGTCTGGACATATAAAAATAAAAAAATTTATTTTTTTTTACACCTGGGAGTTTTTTTTCTTCTAGTAGTTCATTTTCCATTTCTACAAAGTATATTAAAGAATATTTATTTTTTACAAACATTTTATAATAAATAGTATTGTAAAATAATAAAAAAATATTTATTTTGAAACTTTTTTTAAAATAAAATAAATTCAATGGTAAAAAAGGGGGAAAAAAAATTAAACCTTCCATCTCCAGAAATTAGTCTTACTCGACTAGTTTTGTTAAAAGGTCCCATTTTTAAAAGGCACAAGATTTTAGCCAAAATAATATTATGTAAGCCTGGAGATTTTCTCATAGATGACAGAAAAATTTGGCCCTATAGTTGCCAAATTTCGAGACACATAATATTATTTATGCCTAAATCGTAATCGGGCAATTTTTAAAAATCAACCCAAATCGGACTTACAACACTACTGACTTACTTAATGCTGATAACATAAAATTAGAGACTATATCTATAAATCCCAATTCTATAATCTAAATGGATAATTTTTTTAAAATCAAATTAACTACGAATGCTTTTATTAAAGCTCTTAATATTTCAAGGGTTTTAAAAGTAGGGTTAAAGAAGTAATCTAGACCTAAAATCAATATTAAGGCTATACGAAATATAATGAATAATATGATTTAAATAATAATCTACTTAGAAACTAGACATATATAGAAATAGATAACTATTTCTTAAAATACATAAATGTAAAATAATATTAATTTTTTCAAAAAAAAAAGGCTTGCAACAAAAAAAAATCGGAAATAGGATAATATTAAAAAAATATTTCACCCTTGCGCAGCAAAAAAAATGTTTAATATAATAAATAATATATAAAATTAAAATATTTTATGTTTAAATTTTGTATTTTCTTTTAATAAATAGGAGGGAGGTAACAAAGATAAAATATCTGTTCAATTGAAATACTTAATTTGAGCTCTTGGATACCAAAACTTTTTCTCAATTTACCAAATTTGTTCTCTTCAACCTATGATGGCCAATAACCCGGACTAACAAAATTTTCCCGAATTAAGATAATATAATAGGAAAAAGTTTAAATTATATAAGTTTTTTTGTAGCTATATATATTTTTTGTAATAATATACTTATTTACTACTGTTTTTTTTTAAAAAGCAACAAAATTATTCTCAAGTTTTTGGAAAGACACTAAGCTAGACACAAATGTATTTTAATAAAATATCTGAAAATAAATTGATCCAAAAACATATATTCTCTTTTTCCGGAAAATAAGGGGATATTTCCTTTAATTTTTCCTACCGGGTATATTCATTACACGACGAAAAATTAAATTCATTTGATTGACATTTATCTCTATTTCCTTATTTTTTTTCACTTCTCTATCTCTAGTGAAGCAGACTGATTGAGAAACCGAAAAATATTCCCCCAAAAAAGGTACGTCGGCTGCATTCAATTTGACTGGCAAAATAACTAAATTCCATTTTGTTTCTAAATATGGTCTAAATGCAGTCGACCATTTTTTTTAAAAAATTCATCTGAATGTGGAACGATCCGAGTTTTGATTAATTTTTAAACTACTTCATTTTTATTATAAAATTATTTTATTTTTGATCATGTCCGAATGCAAAATTAGCAGAAAAAGTGACTAATTCAATTTAGTTACGAGAATGTATAAAATTAGTAATTACATCCAGTGTTGTTAAACGACTCGATTTTTAAAAATGGCTAACCCGATATTTTGCAAGCCTGGAAATTAGCTCATAAATGGCAAAAAGGTTTGGACATCTATTAACGAAATCTCGAAGCTTGCGTATTATTTTTGGCCAAAATATTGTATTAACTATTTTTAAAAATCCAGCCGTAACAACACTAATTCAATCCATCCCATACATCCATCTGATTCTTCCATTGTTTCAATATCTTTTTTTAATCTTCTTTTATTTATTCCCATAATTATATAATTAAAAACAAATGTTCGATGTTATAAGAAATTTTGATATTCAAAATTATAATTTTATATTGTTAAAGACTTCCTATTTTTTTAAATAAAAACTGTTGAAATAATAATCAATTAGCCCTTTAGAGTAAAAGTGAGGGTTACCCCATAGACGACTATAAAACATAAACCTGATCCAGGCGCGTAACCAGTGGGGAGGGGGGAGGGATCGCAAAATTTTATGTTTTCGTAAATATCATTTTAAGCTAAGAAAATTTGCCCTCTTCACATCCCCCCCCCCCTCTTTCCAAAAAATGTAATCAAGAATTTGAATGAAAAATTAGTAAAAATTAATAACCTTTTAAAATAACGACTATATTTCAAAAAGCATTTTAACAGAAAAAAAGGTGAAAACCCAAAATTATTTTTATAAAAATCTATTATAGGCAAAGACGCATAATAACTGGACTTAAAGATCTCCAACAAAATTTATGGGTAAAAAATTCACCTAATATTGCCTCCACCATAACAAAATCAAGGATATGCCAAAGACCTGATCTTATGTTAGGAGTTTAATATTTATTTTCTATCAGTGGATAATCTATGTGTAATGTGATAATAATTCTGATACCATGAAAGATGAGATTGAAGGTAATCGAGAGTTAGTAGCAGGTAATCAAATATATTATTATAATAAAATATAATTTATAAATTCATAAACTTTTTTCAACTTATTCTGTCGCTTCAGAAGTCAAACCGATGGATTATTTTTTTACATTTTACAATGTTTTAACAACAAATATATATTTATAAAACGAATGCCTTAGCGACTATAAAATAGATCAATATATTTTCTGAGATATAGGCGTTTAAACTCACCTTTGCATTTGGGATTTTTTTCATTACCTTTTCTCTGAAGGGTTACATGGCCCAAATATTTATCTTATAAATCGGAAAATAACAAATCTTAATAATATAATATCCTTTCTTTCGCGTCATTTACTTATAATTTTTATTCCCGATAAACTTATAATTTTATTTTATATAAAATACAAAATATAAACAATTTACCTTTTCCATTTAAAATGACTAGACATTGTTTAAAATTAAATAACATTTTATTTGTTTATAAATTTTAGTCTACCAGGTAACTTAGCAGTCAACGACTAATCCTCATTAATTATACATTATATTAATTGCAAAACAATATCAATAGTGTGTATAAAAGCGCATGACATATATTTAAATGAATCCCTATTTTATTATTTTTTACTATTACTTATATCAAAAAATAATTAATCGTTGGCAAAAAAAATTATTGAAAACGATAACTAACCATTAGCTATTCTTGTTATTTGATCTTACTATTTAATACAAAATTGAAGGGCATTGGTTTCGACAACATTTCATCGTCATTATAAAAAATCCAAAAATTAAATTTCTATTCAAAATGTAAGATGAAAATGAATATCATTATGTAAAAGATAAATGTTTTTGCCAGAGTTTGAAACAGAACCAAAGCCGTCGGAACTGGGACTAATTCTCTCCTTTAACATTTCGTTAGCTGAGTATTAGTGTCCTATATTCATTTTTTTTTAAAATTGTTCATGAGCGCATTAAGAAAAAAGGATTATTTCTATTTTTTTACATAGTAAATCACAACTCAATTATACTTTAACATTTTTAAGGGATAAATGGGTTAGTCCATTTTTAAAAATCCGCCATTTAACAATATTACCTAATTATAATTTGCTTATAAATAATAACCAATCTCATCTTAAATTTGCTTATTAATAACAAATCTCATCTTATGAATAACGAAAAGTGATCGAAATATGCAGTTTCGGAACAAAGGGCTTTTACCAGGGATCCAAACCGAAACGAATATCGGTTCAGGTTCGGATAAAAATAACGGTTCAAGGTTCAGGTTCGGTTCGCAAAAATTAAAAATATTGGTTCGGTTCGAACCTCTAAAAACCGGTTTGAACACTTTTGTATTCAAACCTTCTTTAGGTTTATGTATAAGGAAAATTTTTTTTTTATTTCATAATTAAAATAAAAACCTTAGTTTCTATTAATTGCACATTATAAAAGAATATTTAATTTATAAATATAAAAAATAAATATATCAATGAATAATTTTAATATGAACAATTACTTAAAAATTTTTTATTAAGCCGCACAATTAATATATTTCCAAAATTCGTCTCACTCAAATTACATCTATAAGGAAATAATATAAATTTAATTGTTGAAAAACATCTTTCCACACTAACTTGGGTAGCTGGCATTGCCAGTATGATATCACATTTGATGTGTCATTTATAATACTATATGTAAATAATTTATATATTAGATTTAATTTTTTTCTAGGCATTATAATTTATAAGCTTAAAATATTTAAAAAATGTTGTAAAATGGCAATATACTAAAGTTTATAAAAATTATGACTGACGTTTATCAATCAAATGTTATTGATAATAATTTTTAAAACAATTTGAATATAATTAAAATTTTTGCAATATACTACTAGTAATAACTTACATATTATTTTATAAGCATAAAATTATGAGACTCGAACCGGTACAGAGGCATTTTAGCGGTTCGGTTCAGGTTCGGTTAAATTTTTTTTAGAGGTTTAGGTTCTGTTTGGGTTTGATAAAAATACCGGTTTTCAGCGGTTTAACGGTTCGGTTCGGATCCCTGCTTTTAACACCCCTCTACCCCTCCCCCCCTATATCTTTATAAAAAATTGATACCATCTTTCCTAGAGAAATCAAATTTTTTCTAATTCAAAAAATTTTTCCAGTTCAAATAGTTATGTCTTATATACTCTTCTAAATAAAATTTAAAAAACTAAATAAGAATTTGATTATATTTTAGAACCTTATTAATTTAATGAATCCGGAGATACAACAAATTAATTTGTTATATTGAATATAAGGTAAAAACAATTGATTACAAAATAATTATTATATTTAAAAACGTTTTCATTAATTTTAATTAAAAAATACTTTTCATAGTTTAGATTAGGGGTCTACAATGAGCAATTTATTTATCCCGATCGCCTCCCCCCCCCCTCATAATCTACGTGTTTATTTTTTAACACACCAGTTGCAACCTTTAGTTTAGACATGATTGAGGTTAATTTTGCTTCATTAATATTTAATTTTGATAATAAACACAATTTATTAACTAAACTTTAAATTTCCCTTTAAAGCCCATAAGATATAACAAAGGTAAAACTCTTTTCATCTTTAGATAAGTGATATAAGATTAAAATAAGCAAAATTATGTGTAATGCTCGATTTAGTTAATTTTTATAGAGAACACTTTTATAAATTATATATTATTGTTTATCGATATTCATTTACAATTTTTTTTTCTAAAAGATCATTTATAACGATTACCTGAACTAAATCAAATTAACAGGTTTAATTTTTTCAAATTGTATATGTGTAAGATAATAAAGAAATATACAATTAAAATTATTTGTAAGTGTTACTTAATTAAAAATAAAAGTTAAACTTATGTAAAACAAATAAAATGTTTTGCATGATTGATAATGATGATTTGTATAAAAAACTTGATAGTCTTTTTTTACACACTTGATTTATTAATGGTACATTAATCATCATCACTCAATGAGGGTGGCCATTTTGTCATTGTTATAAAGATTTGGAAGAAAAAACGGAATATTTTTTTTTCTAGATAGGTAAAATAAATAACGAGAGAACCCTATTTAATTTTTAAAAAAAAATTGGGATAAAATAAAAATTAAACAAATTTTAGATTGAGAAAATTCTTTATAAAATAAGATAAATAACCATTATCTAATCCAGAGTTAAACATTTGTTCAAAAATAAAAAATATTCAAAAATTTTATTTCAGAAGATATTTTTGAGAAATAGCAGGATTTTTAATTAAATTTTACCAAATTATTTTTTAAAATTTTTTTTATAAATAAATCTTTTGTGATTTTTATGCAAAAAACTCTTTCATGATGAAATTCAGATATATATTTTTTAAAAAAATGTTAAATTTATGATCTTAAAATATTTTACTCAAATTTTGGGCAAAAAATAATCAATAAGCCAACTACAAGAAGGTTCTGCATGTTTTCCACTTTGAAAGTATAAATTTATTAGTTCAATAGTATTATTAGCTACTGGCTGTCAGATGTCAAATTTGAGATCTTGGCAATTGGGAAAACCCCTAAATTAATTAATAATTTTTGATACTAAGCGATTTCCTATATTACAAAATAACAATATCAAGGTTGTCAAAAATAATATAAAATATTTGACCTCCGATGATTGCTCATAACAGACAGGTTGTTGTATAACCTGTACTGTCGGTAATACACTTACTATTTATAATAATAAAACAATTTTATTATACTTATTATAAAGATTTCCGAAAAGATACCAAATTTAAAATTTTTTTTAAGATGTTAAATAAAATAGGTACAAATACCATGGTACAAAAGGCGTAATATTCTTTATATTACAATAAATGATTATAATTTATTCAAAATAAATTCTAACATTGTATGTATTCAATAATAATTGGTAGATTGACCTCTTTATGTTAAGAATAGGTAAACCTACCTAATTTGAGCAAATATTGGATTCAAGTATAAACTACTGGTCATTAATTAAGTGCTAATAAGATAATTTTAAAGTTTCTAATAAAAAAAAATAAGCCTTCATAAAATGGCTCTACCCCACCACAGTCAGGGCGTTTTTTCTCAAGTATAATCATCGTGTTAAACAATGTTGTAATTGAAGTAAATTTAAATTCTTGCTTACTAATTTCTATCTATAGCAAGGTGACGGCAAAAGCAAAGAAAAAGAAGATTGTCATAATTATAAAGGTAAGAGTAGATTATTTTATTTTAAACAGATTTCAAAAAAATTTAACTCCAAAATTTGACGAATACTAATCTTAACAATATTTTAAAATAATATCAATAAATAGAGAATCATTGGAGCCCTGCATCGAACTTATTTTTTGGGAGTTAATCTCAAATATGCCCAAGTTCGTCAAGTCCAAATCATTGGAGATGGGTTAGTCTGTTCTGCTGTTGTTAAACGGCTCGATTTGAGAAGCAAATTTTTTTAAAACGGCTAACTCAATCTTTTATCCAGAAAGATATTTAGCAAGCCTGAGGATTTTCTCATAGATAGCACAAAGATTTGGGCAACTATTAGCGAAATCTGGAGGCATAAGTAATATTTTTTTCTGGCTAAAATATTGAGTTAGTTGTTTTCTAAAAATCGGCTCAAATGAGCCGTTTAACAATATTAGTGTGTTCATTTCCAAAACGCATATTAACACAATTAATTACATCGCTAGGGTCAAAATAGTTTTAGCAAACTTAGCCAGTCGACGACCTATAGAAGTCATTTTTTGACATCACCCGGCCTGGATTTGGAATGTTTTTCTTATTATTTAAACCATCTTACAATGATCTCCGTACTTGGTGTGAAGGGGAGCCGAGCCTACAGATCTATGATATTGATGCTATTTGAAGCAAAATGGTTTTTTCCCACCACACCTAAATAATGTCATGGATTCGCAAACCTCAATTAAAATGGAATCAAATCGCAAAATAATTTTTTATTACATTAAAAATTCTTGGTAAAGGTTTGGCCAAATTTATTATAAAAAAGTCGGCTTATGTGTGTCATAAACTTTTAGAAAGGGAATATTTTTTTTTTCTCTATTATTTTTTTTTATCATAATAATTTACGATAATTATATTTTCGCATTCTTTCACATTAACACATAAGTAGGAATTATACACTGTAAGGCTGCATTCATAGTGGAGACGGATCCGATTTTTACATCCGTTCCGTCAAAAGTCAATCTCATTAAAAATGATATATATGTTCATAGTGCGCCCGTTCCGAAGACTGAAAAGCTGGCTTAAATTCTACTAATTTAATGGAAACTTATGTTCATGAAGTTTCGGCTCGTACAGACTAACTGGCACATATAAATTAGAAAAGTAGCGCAACTCATATTTGAGTGTACCAATAGTAACATTTTGTTTAAAGGGAGAAACATATTATAAATATAATTTGATTTTTTTTAAAGAGATAATGAGAAAGCGTTTTTTTCTAAAAATAAATTCTGAGAAAAAGATAAATAAAATAATTATCGATGCATCAAAAATCATAATCAATCAATAAATTGCAAATATTTTTCCAAAAATAAGGAAGAGTTCATCATACTCATTTCTTAATATTTTTTTAAAAAAAGGAAAGGTAATATATTTTTTTTTAAAAAAAAAAAATTCTCAGAAAAATTTGTAATAATTTTTATTTTCTTAGAAAATATGAAATGAAAATATATACAATAAAAAAAAAATATTTATTCGGAATTATCAAATTAAAATGGTGATCTTTTCAGAGTTTATCTATATTCATTTTTTTGGGTGGAGGTGGGGCAAGCTGATTGTGATTTATTTTTTGGAGTGGTTCATAGGCGTATCCAGGATAGAAAGGAAAGCACCATTACTCAGCATTTACAGTTAGCAATTCGCGGCAAAGTAAACATAAATACACAAAAATTGGGCATATTTTATGTACTTCGCCGCTAATTTGTGCAAACTATGAATGCAGTGTTAGGTGGGGTTTTCCGCCATAAATTTTATTGAAGGACTTTAGGTCTACTTATTATACACCTTTGGCAATATAAATAATTTTGATTTTTCAATTTTATTTTTATAAAAATGATAATAAAACTTTGAATTATAATCGCTATTTTAAAAAATTATTAAATTTTACTTAATTTTCTTTCAAATTTTTTTGAAGGGAGGGGTTGGGACGTTGGGAAAAGGTTACTCGCTTGGAGTGATCAATATATTTGAGAGAATACAAGATAAATTAAATTTTATTGTACCTGAAAATATGAATAAGTATAGATAATTTGATTTGATATAATAAACAAAAGCATTTTTGGATAATAAAAACATAAACCATTTATACTATATAAAGGTTAATCATTTTTTGAATATATTTTTTTTCGTAATTTTCTTTTAAATTCTATTTTTTTATAAAATCACATTTTGTTTTTTAATTAAAATATTTTATTATAAAATACACAAATAAAATATAATAATCTTTTTATATTTTTATTAGTGAAAATTTAAATATATATTTTTATGTAAATATAATTTTTGTAATCAAGTATTTTTTTTATTTCCTTAATTCATTACTTTTTTTCATTCATTAAATATAATTTCTGTAATCAAATCCTTTTTTTTCTTTCTTTCTTTCTTCACTTATTAATTTCTTTCATTTTTTCACCTTATTTTTAATTTTTTATATCAAAAAAAATATATGTTTTTTATTTTATAATATTTATTAATAAATATATAAATATAAATTTGTAAGTAAAATAACAAAAACAAAATAAAAAACCTTCCTTTCTAATGTATAAAATAAAAATTAAATTAAAAAAAGTACAATGTACTTTTTGCAATTTTTTTTTTCAATTTCAACGATAAAAATAAAAATATTATAATTATTATTAAATTTAAAAATAAATAATAAAAATCTATAACAATAAAATTATTATAATTATGAATAATGCCTGTGTTCTTCTTCTCCCTCAATCCATCTTTTTTGAAAATTAAAATGATCCATCTCCAATCAAAAGGAACTGGAAGTTAATAATATTTAATATTGATTTATTTATGAATTACGTATTATATATAAAGTGAAAAACAAAATTTATTTTTAAAAGTTCAATTTATCGAGCACCCTGTACTACTGAGCATTAATTTTTTTTTAAAAATTCCTCAAACAAATGATGATAATAGATTATTACAGAAAATTTTTTGTTTAAATTTTGATCAAAATGTAAGGACTTGGAAACTAGTAAGCTGCTCGATTTTTAAAAACAGCAAACATAATATTTGGCATAAAATATTACGCAAGCCAGGGATTTTTCTCACTAGAAGGTAGAAAGATTTGAACATCTATTAACGAAATCTTGATGCTTGTGTAATATTTTTGGTTATTGTTTAACAGTACTATCGTTAACCTTATAATTTTGTTTTTCTTAGATAAGCTTGAAATGTACCATATTTATTTTATGCCCGTGATAAGAAAACTTTAAGTTTGCATTTATTATTAATAATATACCTTTGATGATCAGCCGTAAAAATCAAATTGAATTATAATGATCCTTGATGGGAACTCCTCCCCCCCCCACCCCCATATTAGTTTTTTAAAATAATGGATAAAAGGTATAACTTTTTAAAATAATAACTATAATTACTCTTTTTTTAAAATCCCATTTTTTATGTAGACCGGCGAAAATACAAAAATTAGGTAATCCTCTGGATAAAATTAAAATCCTGGATACGCTTATGACACCTTTTAATTCATTTCTATAAAATTATTGATTACATATTTAGTAAAATGCAAATGTAACCTTTTCATTGCATTAAAATTAAAATAATTATTTATTATTTGCATATTAACTGACCAAAATATGAGATGCTAATTAGGGATTTGAAAATAATAATTCTAGAATTTGTTATTAAGTTCATTAACCCTTATAAAAATTTAAAAGGCAAACATAAAATTAAAATATGATATCATCTTAATGTATCAAAATTTAAGGAGACTCTACAATGTTGGGGCTTCGCCCCCAAACCTCTTTTACTTGGCCTTCGGCCAGCTTTCCCCCGGCCTTCGGCCGGATCTTATGTTTTAGCTATTTTATTAAATTATTCATAAATTAATAATAATTATATTTCTATTTTTAACTATTATTTACTAATTCGTGCTTATGGATATTACAAGCCTATTTTTTATTATTTCAAGTTAGGTATGTTATATTTAATAAAGTTTTAAATGTAAAGGTTTTTTTAAATGTAAAGTTGAAATAAAGTGTAATGTCATTTTTTTTATAAAATTTGCTTTAAAAACTAGCCTTAGCTTAAATTCTCATACAATATAAGTAGAATATAATTTTTTTATTGAAAATGTGGATATTTAACAGAGCTAACCCATTTAGCCGAGATTCAGTACTTCGTAAATATGTTTTCAACCTTCTCAAGTTGGAAAAAGTCCTTTCATTCGTACATGTTGTAATAGACAAACATGCAAGAACATAAAACAACTTCAAAATATTAGGAAATTGAGCCAAGGTTTCTTTACACCGATTGAGCGCATCAATAGCATGCTCAGGTAAAATAGCTAAACGTAGTAAATATTTATACCACAATTCGAATTCTCTGATTAAATTTATTTCAGTATCAATCTCATAGGAATAAAATTTTGCTAAATATTTAATTTTACCAATAGTGGCATTAGAAAACAAATAAGGATCTTTGGGTTATAAAACTTGAAGACTTGTTTTTTATCTAAAAACCGTACTTTTATTTGCGATAAAAAAGTATTTAAGAATGGGATGAAAATGGATATTTTATAATGTTCTTTAGTTGAGCCAATATTTATTTTCATCTCAATTATGGCCTAGGTGCTAGACGAGGTTTAATTAGTGTTATATCATAAAATTTAGCCTTCGATTCAACGTCTAGATAAATATTATGAAAATATTTATCTACATTCATTCTTATTGTATCTACCTGTTCAAGTATATTTTCCGCCAAATCAATAACCTGAACCAAATCTAAATTTGGTTTTTGTAAATTTCTACAAAGTAGTGAACTAAAAATAATTTATTGATGAACTAGCAGCAATGATAAACTCTGATTGATCAATTGAATTCAATAATGATATCGCTTCTGACGACACATTACTTTTTTTCATGCTTAGCCTTATTTAACTTTTGTATTTCTATTTCTTCTGTTCTATAAAATGGAAGTAAAAATAAAAAATATTTAAAAAATTATAGATATATATTAATAATTAAAATATTAATAAATAAATATATATAATAATAAAATAAATTATCGTTTGATTTCAATCTCTTTGACTAAATATTTTTCTATTTTATTAATATTTTTGAATAATATGTTGGAAAATTGATATTCAAATATTTGTAAAATTTTGATTGAGGTGGGGGAAGGGGGGGGGTAAAATTTTTATTAGCTTAAAATGATATTTATGAAAATAATTTGCGATTTCCAGTAATTATAATTAATTATTTAGAAGATGATTGTAGATTTTTTTATATAAATTTCATAATATCTTAAAAAAAATTCTTTATATACTCAATCCTATGATGTTATAGTTTTTAGAAGAAAATAAGAATTATTATAATTTAATTTTTTTTTATTATCTTAGAAATTAGATTGCTGTCCTGTATGGACAATAAAAATAAAGACTGGACTCTCAACTTATTTGAAGCATCTGGCAGTCCTAAGATCTATCATCTTTTCATAGAGTTGCCTTACTGTCAAGAATGATGGTAATAATAAATTCTCCTTTATTTGATGATGGGTAATAAGAAATGTCCCCTTTATTATTTGATAATGGATGAATCAAAGTAGTCTTTTTTATGAGGTGTAACAGAAATTAATCTTTGTTTTGATGAGAGCTTATTTAAATTTTTTAATGAAGGGTATATATATTTATAGCACCTTCAATATGAACAAATAATTGGAACATATATGTGAATAGTGGTTGGCAAATGACAAAATTATCAGTCCGGACCAGTGAGAATTTAACTAATACCTAGCCCAGACAAATTTTTGCTCAGCCTAGGCCAGTTTCAACTTTTTAATAGACATGTTTGTCCTAGCCCAATTTTTTTATTTTTTTTTAAATACAAGGCCTAAACCAAAATATATGTTGTTGACCCTAAACAATCACATATTTATGACATTGGAGAGTGTTAAATTAAAAACACTATATTTTATTCATCAAATATATATATATATAAAAAAACTTGTAAGGCCTGGCCACTTCTTTTTTTTGACTAGCCTGGCCCAAAAAAAATTCCCAGATGTAAGGGCTTGGTCCTGGTATTGCAGACCACTAATGTGATTATACATAATATCTAATAATGACTTTTATGTGCATAATATAAAATTATTTTAAAATGCATTGAAATACATTTGTAATTTATAACCTAATAATTTAATCTTGCTTGATGAAGGTTTTATAGGGCAATAGATATGTCTGTTTAATATATTTCAGAAACATGCAGGCCCAGCCCTAAGCCCGTGGCTGGTACACGGGCCGGCTCATATTCTAATTTTTTTAAAATATATACGGGCCTGGTCTGTTTTTCTTAAAAAAATACCCGGGCCGGATTTTATATTATAACTAAACATTTAAATCACCATTATTAGCTATAGAAATTAAAAATAATTGTAATATAAATTTTAAAAAAACTACCCAGGCCCGAAAAAATTTTAAAAAAAAATCCATTACGGGCCGTGCAAATGGTACTTTTACAGATTTCTGATATATTTAATCATTTTTGAAAATGTGTTCTTTTCGCATGGTTTTCAATTTTATATAAATTAATATTTTCAAGTCTTTTTCCCAAAATAAAAATAATACGTCGCTTTTTACCTTTTTTATTTTTTCCGAAATCGACAAAGTATGCCTTCGATACTAAGGAATGCAAAGCTCTCATCTTGCAATAATAAATCTTTTAGATCATAAATTAAAAATTAAAGGTAAAAAGCTGGTAATAGGAAAAAAGCCTATGGAAAAAACCCCCGGACTTGGGAAAAAAACCCTGGAAAAAGAACCCCTTGGAAAAAACCTCCTGAAAAAAACCCTTGGAAAACCCCATGGAAAACCCCCGGAAATAAAATCTTAATTTTTTTTAATTAAAACAGTATTTTTTTATCAAATTTGCTCTTATATAAATTAGGGATGCTTCATCATATTAATATATGGGGGTTGGGTAAAGCAAGGTAAATGTTGTTTTGATTTTTACTTTTTTGCTAATTTTTATTTGGAATTTTTTTTTTACAAATTTGAACTTATATTTCTAAGTG